AAAAAAAAAAAAAAAAAAAAAAAAAAAAAAAAAAAAAAAAAAAAAAAAAAAAAAAAAAAAAAGTTGAGACCAATCCGAATGTGCATAAGAAACTTGGGATCCAAGCAAGAGGTGGGGAGGGATAAAATGTGATGTAGTGGGGCGAGGGGCATAAATAAGTGGAATCGAATTGATGCCGTTTTATTTTATACCCGATTGAATGAACAGAGGATTTTCCAGGGTGAAGGCAGAGCAATTAACCGCTACATGTTTTAGCTCCACTCTTGCTTCCCCTTCTCCATTTTTCCTGCCGCAGCTATCCATTCACTCTCCCACAGCTCATAGCTCAACTGGGATTCATCTCTTCTTCAATTTCCCATTTTCGCCTTGCTCTTCTTCATCGTCTGAGTTATCCATTCACTCGCTGTCAGCAATGCCGGGGGCCGGTTCTCAAGGAGTGGAATGGCCGGCCAACCGCATAAGGGACACGTTTTTTCGGTTTTTCGAAGAGAAGAATCACGTTCAGTGGAAGTCTAGCCCCGTTGTGCCCGTCAACGATCCGACTCTTCTTTTTGCTAATGCGGGTTTGTCTTTTTTCTTCCTTTTCTTGAGTTTTCTTTTGCGTATGTGTGGTTATGGATTGAGGGTGTGGGAGGATAATTGTTGGAGTTGTTCAATTTAGTTGAATTTTATTGGTTATACGAATATTATTACTCATTGAATGTATGTATGACTTGAATGTGGTGCTTGAGATTATGGGTTCTTGTTGCAGGTATGAATCAGTTCAAGCCCATTTTCTTGGGCACTGCTGATCCTAATACGTCTTTGAGCAAGCTTACCCGAGCTTATAACACTCAGAAATGTATTCGTGCTGGCGGGAAACACAATGATCTTGATGATGTTGGGAAAGACACTTATCACCATACTTTCTTTGAGATGCTTGGCAATTGGTCGTTCGGGGATTACTTTAAGAAGGAAGCCATCACATGGGCCTGGGAACTTCTTACCCAGGTTAGTTGACTTTTACACCTAGATATACATTCATGCCTGAAACCGAGCAACGCTAAGGGCGGCATGAGTATATCATTATGGTCTATGATTCATAATTTACAATTTTTCATCTTCTTACATACAACGATACAGTACAGTTTGATTTTTCTATATATGTTTATGTTATGTATGTGTAGTGTGATTTCATACATATATGGACGTATATATGCATTTCTTTTGCTACTTTCCAGCTTGGGCACAATGCCGTTACTTCTTAAATGTTCTGCTGCAACCAGGGAATCATTTTATTTGACTTGTATGATGCAGTCAATCAGTCGTTCTGTTTTTAACAATTTTCTTTTGGGTAAGAAATGCTTGTAATGAAAACTAAGTGCATACAATGCAAGAAAATGCTACCGGGTGTCCAATTAAACCTCATGTAATGTAAAATTATAAAAAGCTCCTCGATCATCTATAATACAAAGATTGAAGAAATCATATTACTCTTCTCTTTGATATATGAGATGCACAAGTTTATATCAGTTGATCTCATAATAGTTGTGTTCTATGACTCTACAGATTTATAAGCTACCTACGGATCGATTTTATGCCACCTACTTCAGTGGTGATGAGAAAGCTGGTCTTGCACCTGATACTGAAGCTAGGGACATATGGCTGAAGTTTTTACCTGCTGAACGTGTCTTACCTTTTGGCTGCAAAGTAAGATTGTATAGCAACTTCTTTCTGTTCTCTGCTCTTGCAAGATACAAGTGTCTTGTATCCTTCTGAAATATGATGCTATTATAAAAAAATATGTTAAACAGATGCTTTAATTATCAAAGATAACAAAATTTTTCAACAATTGTGCGTATCTTCTGTTTTTGTGTTTCTTTCATGTTAGTTCTTTAAAATTTTTCTAACTTATTTTTCAAATTTTGAGCAGGACAATTTTTGGGAAATGGGTGACACTGGTCCTTGTGGACCTTGCACTGAAATACATTATGACAGGCTTGGTGGTCGTGATGCTGCACGATTGGTTAATAATGATGACCCTACATGCATTGAGATATGGAACGTTGTTTTTATTCAAGTAGCCTTCTTGTCCCCTCTTTTCTCTCCTCTGTTTCCCTAAATCTTATTAAATGATTTTTGGTCCTTGCAACAATGGGAGCATATCTTTCCTATTTTTCTAGAGTAGCTTCTCAGATGTAGGCTATATTGTGGTTGAACGGTAGTATGTTTATAAATATCATTTGAGTAGCTGTATCATATCTAACTTCTAGCATGATGGTTCATCTCACGTGAAATCCTGAACGTTTTAGAGGTTCTTGGTTTATATTGCAGTATTAGTTAGGTTTCCATATAATAGAAATGGGGGAAAAGCTAAATGAAGAGTTAAGCAGGATAGTTTTACTTATGAAGGAAGTTTAAAATAAAAAATAATGGGAAGAGAAGTAAGGATGCCAGGACAAGTATTCCAGTTACATTGCATTCTTAATCAGCGCACCTTTCAAAGTTAATAAGTTTGGTTAGCACATGTTTGCTTTGACCTAATTTCTGTCCCTGTCCTTACATTCTTGTCTAGTAACTAATGTATGCATATCAACGTAGTAGATTTGCTGGTTCCTTTGTCTCTTTTGATGGGTTTCAGTTGTTTTCCTCGGTTATTGCTATTATTTGGTTATCAGAACTACTTAGTTGGTTATTAAAGATTCAATTTATCATCGTTACAGTTCAACAGGGAAAATGATGGCTCCCTGAAATCTCTCCCTGCTAAACATGTTGATACTGGTTTGGGATTTGAAAGGCTGACTTCGGTACTGCAGGACAAGATGAGTAATTATGATACTGATGTGTTCATGCCCATCTTTGATGCAATCCAAAAGGCAAGATCGGAATCTTTGATTCAATTGCATGAAACAAAAGTAATTATCTGGGTCACTATATTTGGTCAAAATATTAATTCCTCTTTTGGTGTTTTCTGTTCTTTTATCAAATATTTGTAGGCAACTGGAGCTCGGCCCTATAGTGGAAAAGTTGGACCAGATGATGTGGACAACATGGACGTGGCTTACAGGGTTGTTGCTGATCATATTAGAACTCTTTCAATTGCCATTGCTGATGGGTCTTGTCCAGGTGAGTACCATTAAAAAGATTAGATGCCTGGTCAGATAGCATTTTGAGCCCTTCTACTTATAGTTAACCCGGTTATGTCCTCTCTCTGTGTTTTTATTTTTGGAACTTCCACAAGAATTTGTATTGGCAATTCTTGTACTTATACTGGATTTTGATTTTTCTTCTTCGATATCATGGAAAGGATGGGTCCAGTTTATTATCAAGTAAATTGTGTTTATTAGTTGCATAATTAGTTGTTCACATTATGTGAATTCTGCATCTATTAGTTTCTGTTTCCTATGAAAAAAACTTGAGTTGAATTCTCCTATCATTGATGAATAATGATATTTGATTTATCATGTCCTTCATATTTTGTTGTGATTGGATTTGTCATTCACCTTCACTCTTTGCACATGTGAAGCTCCAAAAAAAAATAGTTTGTCACGTCTCTTGCAAAAATCCTTGATAGGTAATGAGGGGCGTGAATATGTTTTGAGGCGTATTCTTCGTCGAGCAGTTCGATATGGAAGTGAAGTTTTAAAAGCTCAAGAAGGATTTTTCAATGGGTAGGAGGACTTATATATTTTACTTGTTTGCCACTTCTAAATTCTAACATGAGGAGTTTGACAGTGGTTTTCACACG